GATAGAAAAAGGGGTCAAAATCCATGAATTGTAATTTATAATTTTGGCAAATATTTATCAATTCACTTTATACTTCCTTCTGTTTTTTCTTTTCTTTGTATTCTCTATTTTAAAGCATAAAACGATGGAAACTAAATTTGATTGGTTTTTGTGAGTTTTTTTTTCTTCTCATTACACATTTGGAAATTGGTGTAAAGCGAGGGGAAAAAAATAAAATCCACATAGAAAAAAAAATCTATGAAAAAAGGTTAAAAAAAAGAGAGGCTTTTCTCTGGTTTTGTAACAAGGAAGATGAACGGAGAATAATTCATTTCCCTCTTCTCGCTCTTTTGTGTTCCTTCAATTTTTTCATCTCTCTCTCTTTCCCTCTCTTACGGCGGCGATGTCATTACCCCCGTTCAACTGCCGCATTCTCGCGGCGGCGTTGGCCCTCTATCTCATCGGTCTGTTCTGCGTTGGTGCCGGCGGCGATGCCAAAATTCCTGGCTGCTCCAATGCATTTCAAATGGTAATTTTTCATTTGATTTTTTCCCATTCGAATTTTGGGGTTCCTTGGAAGTGAAATTTCGCGTCAGAATTTGGTTTATTGTTCTTCAATTACCCAGAACTTTGCCTTTGTCGAACGCAAAATTATCTCTGTAATGCAATCAAATTCCGCAAAATGCAGTTTTTGTTATTAGCGTCTACGGTTTTCTATTTGATGTTAATTTTAGGTTTAATCGATCTTTTGGGGTTTCCTTCGAGATTGATGGTGATTGTTCATGAAAATTTTAGAATCATGTAATCAGTTTACTAAACAATGTAGATTCATGCACAAAACTTGTCTACCTAATCAGATTACTTCATGCAACTACTGATTATAAAAATCCATTTATTGTAATAAGCCGTTAATTTATATTGAAATATTGACCAGGTCAAGGTTGAGAATTGGGTTGATGGAGAAAACGGTGAAGCTTTTACTGGCATGACTGCTCAGTTTGGTGCAATTCTTCCTTCTGATAAAGACAAAGCTGTTAAACTGCCGGTTGTTCTTACCACTCCTTTGAACAGTTGTTCCAATTTAACCTCAAAGGTTTTTCTTTTCCTCTTTCTGATAACAGTCTTTGCTTTTCCAGAATCAAAACCTCTGTTATATAATGATGTTTGTTCTCTGCAGCTATCTGGTTCTATTGCGTTATCTGTACGTGGCGAATGTACTTTCACGGCTAAGGCTCAAGTTGCACAGTCAGGAGGAGCTGCAGCTTTGGTGTTAATAAACGACAAAGAAGGTTGAGATTTTAAACTTTAAACCTTTGAACTGTAACCTTCAAATTGTTATTTCTTGCTTTGCGGTTTTTGTTTCGATGAGCCTCTAACATATGCGTCTCTTATCTTTGACGTTTTTAGAGCTGGATGAGATGGTTTGTAATGAGAAAGATACCTCCTTAAATGTTTCTATACCTGTTTTGATGATTAAAACGTCAGCTGGAGATGCCCTGAAGAAATCCATTATGCAAAATCAAAAAGGTAAGGTCTAAAGCCTTCTCTATCTGCGACGCTATTATGGTTCTAGCACTTACTAACTCAAACTGTAATCATTAAGTAGACAGATCTTTAATAATATTTAGATGATTGACAGAGATTGATTCAGTAGCTTTCTAGCAGGGAAGATGAAATTAGATTGGGAGGGCTGAAACTGACTGTGGACTTTATTACATAATATCTATCCTTAAGTAAATTTGAAATTCTGTACAGCAAATATTGTAACCCTCAAGTCTCGCCTTTTTCAGGATAGTCTTACCTGTTTTTTTTACCGTTCTTTTGATGGCTATTTCGTTTTATGCAGTGGACATTTTATTGTATGCTCCAAAAAGCCCAGTAGTGGATTATGCAGTGGCATTCCTCTGGCTAATGTCTGTTGGAACAGTGTTCATTGCTGCTGTTTGGTCACATGTCACCAGTCCTAAGAAGAACGAAGACCAGTACGATGAATTATCACCAAAGGTTTACCACACTGCATTTACTGAAAACTAAAGTTCCTTTCACATCTGAGTCTAGATGAAATCATGAAAATATGTTTTGTTAAAAGAAGTAACAACAAGATATATATACAATCTTATTAGCTTGTCCTGCCTCTTCTATCAAAGAAATTACTTAAACATGTCTTTATTATACTCTAGCTCTTGTTCTTTTCCTAACATCTAAATTTTCTGGCAGAAATCTTCAGATGATGCTTCCAAAGCTGACGCGGAAGAGGAAACTCTTGATATCAGTGCTAAGGGTGCTGTTATCTTTGTCATATCAGCGTCAACATTCCTCATTCTGCTCTTCTTCTTCATGTCATCGTGGTTTATCTTGATTCTGACCATATTTTTCTGCATTGGTGGTGTGCAGGTAATGTTGGCTAATTTTGAGCATACCTTTAGTTTCATGGCTCAATAGGTAGAATTATGATCAATGTTGGTAACAGCTTGACAGTAAAAATTTCTTTAGCATTACAAAACATGATGAGTTCTTCTTGTGAAATGAAACAGAGACTAGCTGAAGCATTGTTATGTCAAATTATAACGTCCTAAAATTATTAATAAATTTTCTATCTCAGGGAATGCATACTATCATCACTACCCTCATAACAAGGTATTATCAGAGCTCCAGCCACTAAATAGCATCATGTGTTGCTTTCTCTTATTCATTGGTTTATATCTCTGTAGGAGATGCAATAAATGTAGCCGGAAGAATGTGAAAGTCCCTCTGTTTGGGGATGCCTCGATTCTCTCACTCGTGGTTCTGTTATTCTGCTTTGTGGTTGCTGTCGTATGGTTTCTGAAGCGCAAAGCTTCGTATGCATGGGCCGGCCAAGATATTTTTGTAAGTTCTCTTTAGCCTGGTAAATTTATAGTTGTCTAAAGCCAAATTATTTCTGTGTGTTTTGGTTCTTCTTTTTTCAAATGTTCGCTGTATATCTATACAAAACTGTTGGCTTGACGTACTTGCTACTCAGTATTTACTTCCACTTGTTGTTCAAATCCAAGTCAAGGTTGTTCCGTTTTTATTTGGACATTTATCAGTAAATACGTTGCAGTACTTGTTTTGTTGGCATTCCTCATCATTATTTTTCTATTTTGATGTTAGCCTGCTTCTGGTTAAATATTGTCCTTAGTTGGCTTTCCGATTTTGACTTGTCGCGTGACAGGGTATTTGCTTGATGATAAACGTCTTGCAAGTGGCTCGGCTACCTAATATCAGGGTAAGTTTTCTGTATGCATTTTTCAGCTTTATTTCTTTTGCGATCCCTTCTGTATGTTCTAATGGTGTCTCACACTTTAGGTTGCTACCATTCTTCTATGTTGTGCATTTGTCTATGACATATTTTGGGTATTCATATCACCACTATTCTTCAAGCAAAGTGTAATGATAGCGGTGAGTTTTCGATATCTTCCTGCAGTTAACAAAATAATCTTTAGATATTTTCCTCAAAACACCTAAAGATTGAGCTTGAGACATCTTAACCTCAATCTGAACGTACAAGTTGGATACTTCCAGTCATATATTCTCCTTTTTTTGTGTTAATCTATGGCATAGGTTGCTCGTGGGAGCAAAAACACTGGAGAATCTATTCCCATGCTTTTGAGAATTCCTCGGATTTCTGATCCATGGGGTGGTTACAACATGATCGGTTTTGGAGACATTCTTTTCCCAGGTCTTCTCATATGCTTTATTTTCAGGTAAACCTCTCCTTACATCAACTTATAATGATTCTGGTTCACGATCGGCACCAATTGTATGCATATAAACACCGTGCTAATTTTCTTTTGCTTATCAGATATGACAAGGAAAATAACAAGGGATGCTCGAAAGCATATTTCCCATGGTTGATGTTTGGCTACGGACTTGGCCTTTTCTTAACATACTTGGGATTGTATATTATGAACGGTCACGGTCAGCCTGCATTGCTCTACCTCGTCCCTTGCACACTCGGTATCTTGTTAATCCCAAGAAAATTCTGAAATTTTGATGGAGACTCTAGTGTCATTTAATCCGCAATGCGTTTCATTTACGTTTCTCATTGTTTCCAACTAGAAGAAATGCTAGATTTCTTACATGTTGCGCGGTTTCAAAAAACACTTATAATTTGCAGGAATCACGGTCATACTCGGATTGGTGAGGAGAGAACTCAGAGATTTGTGGAACTACGGGACTCAACAGCCTTCAGCTTCAGATGTAAATCCAACTCCAGAAGCATAGATTGCTCTAACATAACTCAAACTCTGGAGACTAATGAAGAAGAAGAAGGTAAAAAAAAACTCAAAACTCTGGAGACCAATGAAGAGGAAGAAAAAAAAACATATAAAAACAAACATGATTCTTACATTTTTTATTTTCTTTCACTCACAAATGTAAGAAATCTACACAAAGGGATTGACCCTTTCTGCATATACATGTAGTTGAGCCCTCCACACGTATAAATGTAATGTATATGTGTATACATATTCACCAAACTTCTGTATTTGCATGAATTAAAATTTAATATTCTTTTTCTGAAAAAAAAAATGATTTGATTTTGACATCCATTCCAAATTATTACAAACTAATTAGATTATT